CTCCAAAGTGCTTAAAACGGTCAGTAAGACAACAAAGGTGCTGTTGCCAGCTCACAGTGTTCTTCTATCTTGAACTACATCAGTCCTCTTTCTCACAAGGTGTTGAAGGACCTCCTATATTGAAGTTATTATTAAGGAACACCATGTTGTTAGTAACAAGAATTCAAAATATTCACATTCAAGTTTTGCCAAAGGGTAGAAAAAACATCTTCTGAACATAGTTCCCAGAGAATCCAAATAAGAGGTTTCTTCTGTCCACTTCTTAAAGTCTTCACTCCAACAGATGTTTGCCGGGGAAAATCAATGATTTGTTGCAGAACTCCTAAAACCAAGTCCCTTTCAAATTGAATCCCGTAACACATTCACTAACATGCGCTAACTAATAAACTGTCCATGTCCACAGATTTAACATAGAACATTTAACCACAAAGGATACAAATAAACTTTAGAGGGAGACAAAATCTGACACATTTATACTTTATATTTTCCAGTGAACAGACTTTACAACAACAACAAATACAGCACGCCAATTCAACCAGTGAAAATAGTTAAGATCCCACACCAGACTGGATATAGTGGCACAAGTTGACTTGTCGATCCTTTTCAGTAAAGGTGTAAGGTCCACTCTCACAGGACGCCTCACACCTTTATTTTTCCAGGACACTTTTACAGCACACAGAATTTGCAGTTCTTGGTGACAGGAGTTCCCCTTACCTTTGACATTAAGCATGGCGCTGGTTATGGCGTTCAGAGCCATGTAAGTCACTTCTCCCGCCTGGTCCAGCTGGCAGTTTTTTAGCTTGAGTCTACGCACTGTACCCTCCATTTGGATGTCGCATGTCTAGTGAAAACATTACAATATACTCACGAATAAAGACCGAACATACACATTAAAGACTACATGTGCAGCAATATAAATGGAAGACAAGCCCTTTGTGCCTCACCGGGGATCTGGTCAAAACCTCTCCTTTGAGCTTCCATTCCCCGGGAATGTCGTCCTCAGAAATCTCAGTCTCAAACATGGCATCTTCCTTCTCAACCACCTCGACGCTGACCAACGGCTTTAGGATCTCAGCCTCCCGCTCTGTGAACACATTGTTAGAAATTAGTACTCAATATTAAATATTATGCATCATCGATGATTTAAATGATTACAGTTACTATGAATATAAGTAAGTAAATGGACCTCCGAGTGTTAGCTTGGCAGTGTAGATGCGTCCTTCCACCTCCAGCGCATATTCTGCTACATCATCAGGCTGGCAGTTCTTAACGACGAGCGTCAGCTCCTTTCCTTCCTTCTTGATCTCAATCTTGTCAGACGGCTGGACTTCATTCTCTCCTTTGAGCCACTTCCAGTTGGGAGTGTCCTTGAAAAGCTCGCATTTAAATGTTGCAGCAGCCTTTGGTTTTACATGCTGATCTCTCAGTGGTTTCACTATCCAGTCTTTGATAATTTCTGTTGAATTTTGAAATTACTGAGTCAATGACAA